ACAACCTCCGGCTGCGAGTCCAGACTCAAATGGTCGAGCTACGGCGTGCCATCCGCAGCAGCGACAGCAGCTTCAGCCTGTGCAGGCGAGTCGTCATAGTCCATCAGGGTCATGGCTACATGCTCAGCACCAGAGCAGTGCATGGTCTGGTGCAAGATTCTTGTTGGCCAAGACGGCAGGATACTCAAGGATCTCAACAAGTGCGCAGTGGATGATGCCATTCCAACCAGCAGATCCTTCCACCACTTGGCCAACACAGCCATGCACAACGACTGGCTTGATCTCATTGATGCTCAGTATCTGGTTGCCCTCGGCTGGGTCGCACTCGCCCTTGGCCACGCGGATCTGCTTGAGCATCTCGCCACGCAGCAAGGCGTTGATCTCAGCCCTTATGTGCTGCTGCCAGAGTGCGATGGATCTGCAGCTTGCATCGGCCAACTCGCGATCCTCAAGAACCCTCATGCTGCAGGCAGTCTGTCTGTGATGAATGCCGCATCTTCTATTGCGCAGTCTTGACATGACATGATGTGGCTGCATGGGCATGGCTGTGGATGCACACACCAAGCGACTGTTTGTGCAGCAGATCACGGCTGCGTTGAGACAGCCGCACTCTTGCACGCCGACAGCCAGAAGGACAGAGCTGAAAGGGCGAGAGAGAGAGAGTCGTCTGCAAGGAGCATCCCCACATGGAAGACTGGCTGCATGCTCGTCCACGAATACACTCGTGTGTCTTTCGGTGGCTGGTTTGTTGTGGATCGGCTGCATCCTGTTCTGCCATGGACGAGCGATGCGTGCACTCCAAGGACAGGCTGCACAGTTGGCATGTCTTGGTGGAAGTGGCTGACAGCGCAGGCAGGAAAGCCAGGATGTGCAGCCGTTGGTGAGGAGAGCAGACTGAGATGCAGCCATGCTCGCTGATGCTTCTGCTGCGACCACTGGCTGCTGATGGAGATGCCCCAGAAGGCGTCTGGTTCAAGCGTCTGCAGCAACGGCCAAGAATGCGAGTGGTGCTGCAGATATTGCGGCTGTGTGTCGGTCGGCATGTGCAGCAGGAGCAGAGTGTGGGCAGAGAGAGTGGAGCAGCCAGCCAGCCAGCCAGCCAAAACCGCACAGGCAAGTCGGCACTCTCTGCTCGACCACTCGGCCAACGACGAGCGGCAATCACGGCTGATCAGTCGGCTGCTGGCGGGCTGCTGGCTGGCTGTCGAGGTGTGCTCCACAAGCAGAGAGGCAGACTGCGAGTGCAGTGCAGGCTGACGGCTGGGCAGAGTGAGCAGCTGGTGTCGGTCACTCAGAGTTGCTGGCTGCTGACGGTGGTGGCATGCTGCTGCTGGTTGTTGCCGAGGACAGGCGAGATTGCCGAAAGTGGCGGCAAGTGGCGGCGAGTGAGACGAGCAGCGGACAGAGGAGCGGCTGCTGTGCATCGTGTGGATGGCACACACAGGCAGGCAGACAGATGGATGGAGAGCGAGTGGCGGCATGCAGGCAGCTTGCCAGTTGCCGTGTTGAGTGGGAGGAAGGCAGACTGACGATCGCTGGCAGCCGAGTCTGTGTGGAGCAGCAGATCGGGCAAGGACAAGTGCGGCAAGAGACCAGACATGCTGCTGGTTCAAGACAGCAGGAGACGATCTGGATCATGCACGATCCATGGACTGGCAGCCAACAGATGCAGCAGTAGCGACTTGGATGCGATCGCATTGATGGACAGAGTGCACAACAGCCGCGAATGGATGCAATGCAGGCTGCAAGATGCCTGTCAGGTTGGACGTCATGGCAGATCTGTGGATGCGGTGCACAATGACAGCGGCAGACGAGCAGACAGATGACGGCAGATCGAGTGGATCGTCAGAGAATGGCGAGATCCAGACGGCTGGCTTGCCTGGCTGATGGCTGCATGGCAGAATGGCGGTTACAGACGCAGGATGGCTCAAACTGATGCTGGAATCAATGCGAATGTGTGCTGCATGTCCATGGAGGACGAGTGGATGAAGGACGCAGTCGCAGAGCAGCGATAGGACGCCAAACAGGCGAGATCGTCCAGAGTGGAAATGCAAGATTGGCTCTCCTGTCCAAACGGGACATGGGAATGGCTTGAAAATAGGCGTGCTATGTAATGTGATGGCTGGCTACACAGGGCATGTATGGGACCGAACTTGCAGATGCTGTGAGAGGCTGGGGAGAGATGCGACCGCGTTGCCGGTGCACATGTCAATTATGGAGGTACTTGAAATAATGGGGCTAGAGCAATGCCGTTTGGAGTGGACATGTCTGGATGTGCGATCCACAATGTGGCAGAGTTTCAAGACAGTCCCGTCAACAGAGCAGTGTCAAGGACGTTGTTTGTGTTGGACGGTCTGGGCAGGCATTTTCTTCTCGAGGTGGTTCTTGCAGGCCGAATTGTGGTGCACAGACCGCGCAAAAATGCACGCTGCTCACAACTGATTGCTTGACAAACCCACTGCAAACAGGGGTTTTCATTCATGAGGAGGAGCAAATGTGGGAAAGAGCAAGCAGAGCAAACGGGGCGAGTGCAGCGAGTTTGGTTGGCTGACGTTGCGATGTTCAGTGGGATCTGAATTGAAGCGATGTGGGCTGATTGAACAAGCAGAGAGTGGACTTGGACTGTGATGTAAACTTGCAGACTTGCAGATGCGACTTATGGGATGGAGACTGCAGGCACTGGGAGGTGTCTGCTGGTTGTGGGAGGAGAGGGGAAGGAGGGGAAGAAGGGTCCTGAGAATGGGCGGCGGAAGTGGGGATGGAGAGGAGAGCGGGTATTGTAAGCAGTAGAGTAGCCTTGTAGTTACGATCTGCTGAGGTTCCCCGACTTTTACGATTTGGAAGCATTTAGCGACCAACAACATCCAGTTAGGGGCGATCCTGAGGACGATGGTGGAGAGTTGTGGTGTGGTTTGTGGAGTTAGGGGGAGGGGGGAGTTAGGGGGAGTTAGTTGAAGGGACGAAAAACTAACGGGCGTGTTAGATTGAGGGGGGAAGATAGGGAATGAAGCGAAATACAAGCAGGTGTGTTAGTTCAAGTGGTAGACAGAGAGGCAGACATGGATAGGGAGACCTGAGGATGATGCTAGACAGACAGGCAGTCCTGAAGACCAGTAGAAGGTCAGCAGATGAACAGCGAGCAGCCAGACAACCTGAGGATAGATGGATAGATGGATAGATGATGCCCAGCAATTCCTGAGCATTGGTTGCCCAGCAACTCCTGAGGAGAACAGTCACAGGGCAAGCAAGGCATGTCCTGAGATTCCTGAGGAAAATTGCAGCATCGATTGCCAAGCAAGTCCTGAGGAGAATTGCAGCTGAGCCACCACTGCAGATTCCGATTCCGATTCGAATTCAGCACGCCACATGGTGATATGACGGTCATATGATGATGTCCATCATATGATGAGATGAACAAATGGACCTGACAAGCAAGCAAGCAACCAAGCAAGCAACCAAGCAAGGACACGACAAGCAAGCAACCAAGCAACCAACCATCAAGCAACCAAGGACAAGGAGCGACAGCCAACGTTTTGCATGTTTGAGCCCCACACAGGCAAGGAACAGACAAGCAGCCACTTGGAGCGGCACCAGCAAGATGCATACATGTACCACTCCAAAGGGCAGCACCAATGGCCGCCAACTGACTGACACAGGTCAACCACCAGCCATCCATCCATCACAAAACGATGTGTTTGTACTATTGCTAGTCCGAATGTGGTTCGATGTGGCACGACACTTTCAGTTACGGCCATACACGCCAGAAAGCACCGGATCCCGTTCGATCTCCGAAGTTAAGCTGGTGATGGATGCGACAGTACTGTGGTCGGGGACGACACGGGAATACGCATTGCCGTAATTTTTGCCATTTTTGGACAAATGAACGAGCGTTGAACCTGCGACTTGAGCGTCTTTTTACTATGCGACCCCTCTTTTTGAAGGTGTCAACGACTAGGAAACATGGCCATGTACGTCCCATTCAAGTTTGAGCGGCAGTTTTATAGTAACAAGCGCCTCATCCAAGACCATCACGGTCAGGGGTGATGCTGGTCGCGGTGGCCAACGATGTGCACGAAATCAGCCAAGTCAGAACGGCCGAGAACGGTTTGGCGGATAGCTGTGGCCACAGTGGAGGGATCCACAAGCGGTAAGGGGCAGCAGGAGCATGCTCACTCAGTCTACGACATATCTCAAGGGCAAGCCATAAGGGCTTGTGGTCGCTGAGCAACCAGACCAGACACTCACGTCACGGCTGACGAAAATGGTCGTTGTGACATGTGCAGAGAGCCAAGCATATCTGGCGACCCAGCTGTCTGAGAGACTCGCTTCAACTTGGAGCTGGACGGCATAGTGTAGTCTGACCACATATCAACTCGCCAGCCCCACCGCCCTCCAACTCACTGAGCTACAGAGCACCAAACTTTGTGTCGCGTACTCTGTCGCTCTGGCGACCAAAACGCCACACCAGATATCTGCCGACCCAGAGGTCAGCAAGACGTCTGGCCACTTGGGGCAGGGTCTGTGGGTGCACGACTATGGCATATCCACCTGCCGACCTCGCCCCCCATCTACTCTCAGAGTGGCAGCACGCCCAAGTCCATGCAACGCTGCCAACGTTGTGTGGGAAACCAACAACGACGACGGCGAGCTCGCTGCTGGCTGGCACTGGCAGTGTGCACAAGTGCGGCACCAGGCCAACTGGCCAGTGCACGCGGTGCTCTGTCTGCTGTTGCTGCTCGTGCACCTGCTGCTCATGTGTCTGCTGCTCATGTGTCTGCTGCCCATATGTGTGAGGCTGCTGCTGTTGATGCTGTGTCTGAGGCTGCTGTGTCTGAGGCTGCTGCTGTGTGTGAGGCTGCTGCTGTGTGTGTGAGGCAGTCTCTTGGTCAGCAACAACAACGACGAAAGAAAAAAAAGCGGCGGCGGCCGGTGTCAGCTGATCTCACGTGACTGCCGACTTGGACTGCGCAGGACCGTCCAAAAGACCAGAAGGACGGTCAGGATCGAGCCTGGGATTGAACCAGGGCCGTGCTTGTGCAAAAAGAACTTGTTGACCACTGCACCAGAGCAGCGATTTCGTTATTTTGTGTCTTGTTAACTGTCATTTTGTATCGCGTACCCGGGATCGTCGTCCAGACAACCCTGCCTCGAGTTTCTCCCAGAGACTTGCCAGCAGACCCACCAAACTCTGCACACGCTCATCCAATACATCCACCCACATTGTATCAACTCGGCAGGACTCGCTCATGCTTGCAAGCACCTGCTCTCTATGAGCCTGTCCAAAACGAGTGGACCAGTGAGTGCACTTGAACGTGCGTCCTGACTCGAGTTTTGACGGGAGAGCCGCCAAACTTGGTACACGCATCCACTGAACACCCCCACAGAGCTGTGCCATGCTTTGGTTCGGCTGCGGGCATCCTGTCGAGTCACTTTATAGGTGAGACATGACCGTCGGGTCGAAATTTGCACCTTTGAGCTCGTTTTGCGACGTCCACAAGCATCCTACGGGGCTGGGGATGGGTGCAATGGAAAGCCACGGTCGAAATCTTCTAGTGACATTTGCTCGTTTTGCAAGTGGTGTCTTGATCCGGAGAGGACACATCGACCCAGACATGTCGCGTCGTGCCTTTCGTCCGATGTGCTCCAAACGAGCTTTCGAAATGCAACAATGCGCGCACATGAAGAGTCGCTCTAATTAAAGTATCTCGGATCGGCCTGATACTTGGTACACGTATGTACGACGGTCATGCACGTCCGTGCAAGTTGTTAAATCCACAATCCAGCTCAAACTGAGGGACCTCATATCTGGGTGTATGGATTTACATAGAGATTTCGCATTCCCACGGTGGTCGAGCATAGGCCGACCATGTCCGATCCGGATGCCCTTTGGATATGTGGTGTCTGTATGTTGGATCAGTCTGCATGTACAAGGGCATGGCTGCATCACCTCTGGCCGAGGAGGAAATGGACGCCGAGTACGTCGTTTTCGGCCGATTGTGGCAGTGAAATCGACGTTTGACTGACTCGAGTTGCGACGGATAACGGTAGACGTCTGCGGCTTGGAGTGCGACTCTGTGGACATGTCCAATGCATCATATCCAAAGATGGGCCACTGCGCATGTCTGTGTGAGGAGCGCACTTATAGGTCACCTGTCTGTCATCATAGGCGGCCTGGTCAGCACCGCCACATCGGTGACATGGCAGACGGATGCCGTTGATACCATGTATGCACAGGACCGTGAACTAGCTCGGTCAATTGTCAAAATTGCTGTAAAACGTACGCAGCAGGACCGTCTATAGGATGTATGATGGTTTTGAGCAATTCAACAGGCACTCGACCATAGGCTGATGGTGCAACAGAGCAACGCCCTTTACACTGAACGTGCATCATAGTGCCACACACACGCATGCAAAGTTTCAACACCGCAGCTTGACTTGGCAGCGTCCGTCTATATGACGCATCTGTCGTGCTGCACTGCCACAAATGCCCAAACAGAGAGACACGCACTTTTATCAAAGTGGCCGTAGAGGGCTCATCTTTGGCACACATGTCGGATACTACCAAGAGACGCTTGAACCCAAGTTTCAGATCCATTGATGCAGTATTGAGCGAGCTCATATATTGGCATGTGACTCGCGGGATGACGCGAACGACGGCGAGTGCACCGACTCGGGGAACAATGGCAAGCTAATGCCGCTTTGCACAGAGGCGCATGGACTGTATATCTAGTCCCACTCCAAGTTTCAGCCTCGTACCATCAACACCCAGTGCGCGTCTATATGATGTCCAATTTTGTGACAAACCGTCGGTTGGCTGCCGCGCATAGGCAAAAGTTACGCGCGAGGTCTGTGACTCGGTGTGGGCGTGTATCATGCCACCATACGCCTCCATGCCGAAAATCACGAGTCTGGCACTGCTGGGCAGCGACCTCCCCATCATGCATCTGCTTACAGACGTCCAAGGCCCAAAAAACTATGTTTGGAGGTCGAGGTTCCGTACGAGGCTGCCCTTTGGATATGATGTCGGAAAACGTAAATGGCTCGGCAGGTTTTGGCGCTGGCTTACGCGCGTGTCGTATGACGGAGCGTTTATAAGATGACCGTGATTTGATGATCTCGCTGTGCACAACGCCCAGCGGGTAAAGTAACAGCAGACCAGTGAGGCTTGGAGAGGACGTGTATGCATATCCCACACACACGCTTGCCAAGTATCAGCGCGCTAGTGCAAGTATCCATCGACATCACTATGGAGCATGTGCAAATTGCAGACTGGCTGCTATGAGAAACATCTACAGAACCATGTCTCACGCACCTGAAACTTGGCATGGGCGTGTGAGATGGTATCAGACGGCTACAGTCCAAACGGCAGGTCTGCCCTGTACACGCAGCGACCACCATTGCACAAAACGTCAAGTGTGGCTTGTAAGCAGGCAGGCACAAGATTGCTCCGAGTACTATGGCGATAGTGACCCAAAGAGGCTGCAATTCGGCATGGACGTGAATGCACTCTGTTGCTACTCGATTGCCAAGTTACAGCATCCTGCCATGTCTGTGGACCGAGCACTTGTATACACACCAATTCAGTCGCGGTTGCTGTGAGACAGGCGGCCATCTGGGCGGCGTAAATCAATCACAAACAGGCGTGAGAATGATGCAGGAGCGTGCGTAAGTAAAGCGTGAGACAAGCATGTCTAGTCAAGCAAGCGACTTGGCAATGAGTCATCTGCAGACTGAACAGTGACTACATAGACTTGCTCGGCACAAAGGCATCCAACGCGGCCCAAACTTTGGCCACACGTCCCAATGACATCCAAACACCACTGGCCAAGTCGGCATGGCCGTAACGCGTCCTGTAAATGACCGCCACTATGAGATGGCTTACCAGACACAGCAAGAGACATCCACATGACGGCCTTTCCGGTGAGCTAGAGGTCTGAAACCTTGCACACACATGGATATGGCATGGAGCTACACTATTGTCTCGGCAAGAAAATTTTTTCATGTAGTAGACTCGAGGACAAAGTGACGCACAACCACCGACGCCCAGCCAGAAGGTGAGACACCCGTGAGACATCTGGATGACGGCCTTGACGGTTGAACTAGGAGCTGAAACTTGGACAGTAGGCGTCTATGACACTGACCACACTCGCCACAAAGTTGCAGCACATGTGCACCGCGGAATCGGGTACCTCTCTAATTGACAAGACGAAATCGGCTAGTGCTGGCAACTTCAAGAGGGTGTATCTCAGCAACCAGGCAAGCTACACAGGAATGCAACACATCCTCGAGGTCCCCTGGACCACCTCTATCCAATGACAGTACGGGACCGAACTTGCCGGCACCGGAACCCACCGAACCAGCCAGGTCGGCCGACCTATGCAAACTGGACCACTTTGAGAGGTACCCGAAATACCTGGGCTAGACTGCTCATCTTTTGAGGGTGGCCATGAATAGCCATGCCCCACAGAGTGGCCAAGTATGAGGGAGGGTTGCCTATACTAGAACGGGACCCCACTAGCAACCACCCCCATATGCCCAAATTGGGCCTAATTTGGGTGCCAGAGTTGCTGGGCGACCCATGAATGATGCAAGAAGAAAAAAGTGGATGCTGCCCAGCTCAAATCATGCAGCACAAACAACCCATTGCCCAGAGGGCTGTTTCATTCATGTGGAAGAGAGCAAACAAGAAAGCAGGACAGAAGCAGAGGAAGGCATTCCAAAGCGGACAGAATACACTGCTTGTTTCAACTCTTGGACACAGCTGTTACTGCAAAGTAAGCAGAGAACCCAAAAGTGTTAGTGAAGCAGACCGATATGGCTATAGAGTACCCAGAAGGGACTATCCACCCCTCTCTAGACCCACATCCAAAGCGAATCGAAGCATTTTTGAAGGGGAGCTGGTTGTGAGTGCGTTCGCCATCTCTAGCGATAGAGGTGATCACATCCGAGGCCTTTCAAGTGGGATTCAAAGCAAGCCGGACCAGTAACAGAGAGTTGCCACTGAGGGCGAAGAGTCTACTATGTGTTGTTACTCAAAATCCGTCAAGCGGTACATACCAACGACGGCCGGCGAGTTTCTAATCCATAGCTAGGTCATCGTTTAGGATAACGAGTCTAGGCGGGTCATTGCGACTGAGATCCTAGCAGGGATGATAATGTGTGTAGATTGCTACCATATCAACGTATGGCAACAATACAACCAAAACACATTTGGAAGAATGGCAAGCCTAGTACATACACCAGGGCGACCTGGAGTAAGCGCTTTGCTTGTAACAGCTTCCACCGATTGCACCACTTTTCCAGGCAACCAATCCAAATTGATTACTGGGAATGTGACTGCAAAGAGAAGATGCATTAGTGGGGTCCTATGGCAAACTGTTCAGTTGTCTAAGCAATAGTATCCGAGCCAGCAGTCAAACGCTTGCAAAGATAATGTGTTGCCTAGATCGGCTGCAGCAAAACCGATTGTAGTGTTTCTTAAACCTTGGAAGAGTTTCCTAAACAAAAACTCAACTAAACGTTTAGAACGATATTGAATAGCGGCACAGTCCTATCAGGCGAGCTCCACCGATTCACACTGCCTCATAGCAGGGAGCCTTGTGACGGCAGCCCATCTGATAGAGCTGATGTCACTAAACGATAGCAACCTGGTTGATCCTGCCAGTAGTCATATGCTTGTCTCAAAGATTAAGCCATGCATGTCTAAGTATAAACGCTTTATACTGTGAAACTGCGAATGGCTCATTAAATCAGTTATAGTTTATTTGATAGTACCTTACTACTTGGATAACCGTGGTAATTCTGCAGCTAATACATGCATCAAAGTCGGACTTCAGGAACGACTGTATTTATTAGATAAAAAACCAACCCGGGCAACCGGTTCTTGGATGATTCATGATAACTTTTCGAATCGCATGGCTTTATGCTGGCGATGGTTCATTCAAATTTCTGCCCTATCAACTTTCGATGGTAGGATAGAGGCCTACCATGGTTTTAACGGGTAACGGAGAATTAGGGTTCGATTCCGGAGAGGGAGGTTAGGGTTAGGGTTAGGGTTAGGGTTAGGGTTAGG